AGATATTATATGTTATATACTATATACTATATACTATATACTATATATTATATACTATATGTTATATTTTATATACTATATGTTAAATGTTGTATACTATATTTTATATGTTATATACTATACGTTATACTATATACTATATATTATATGTTATAATATATAGTATATAACATATAACATATAATACTATATAGTATATGTTATATGTTATACTATAAATAATATATACTATAGACTATATATAATATATAGTATATAATATATACTGTATAATATATACTATATAAAATATAGTATAAAAAAATATTGATGTTAAAGGATAAGAATAAAACTTGTGCAAAGATATCAGCGATAGCCTAGCGCGGCCTAATGGTAACGAGGAGCCCCCAGAGATAACGGACTCACCTGAACCCGGGTTCGAGTCCCGAATCTGGGAACTTCGTTACCTTTTTTTCTTATTTATAAAACGGATTCCTAGAATCCGTTTTTCAAATAATTTTTTTGAAAAACGAATTTCGTGAATCCGTTTTTTAAATAATTTGTGTTGAAAAACGGATTCCATGAATCCGTTTTACAATTAAATATAAATCCACGCCAAGCCTTCTTCTCCCCTTACGCGAACAAAAATTTCACACAGAGCAGAGAGATTGAGAGATTTGAGCTCGGAAGAAAAAAAATTTCCGTCCGCTGTCCCCGCCGCTTTGCTTCCCCACTGCCACCGCGCGTCCTTCCCGTCTATTAGGTACATTTATTCTCTTAATGCTTTGATTTTTGTAATTTTTCAATAATTTCAAATTAGGGCAAAAATTAAGGTTTTTAATAATTCTTCGAGATATGGATTGAGATATGTTGATGGGTTGTTAGATTATGTTTGTTTGCGCAAATTGATGGGTTATTTGGATTATGTTAATGTTAGGGTTTTGTAGTTTGTTTGAAAATTTATGATTTGAAGGTGTTCGATAAAATGCCTCAAAGGGATTGTTGTACATATTGTTAACATATTGTGAATTTGTGATGATTGTGATGAGGTGAATTTATTTGTGAATTTATATAATATGTTTAGGGATTATTTTGTCGCAAGTTGAATTGTTGGAGTCGAACTGTCGATTACTGATTATTTTCGATTTATTGTATATATGATTTTTGAATTTGCGAATTTATTATTTACTTAATTTATTTGTGTTTTTAGGATATTTCTTTTTTTTTAATATGATTGTGTTATTGATTGTAGTATATAATGATTTAATTAATGTAGTATATAATTACTGTTTTTTTTTATTTGCAGAAAATGGCATCTTCGTCGTCCTCACAACCGCAGCGCTTCAATGTACATCCCGGTCAGTACCGCCACCGGGTGAGTGCGCTATTCGAAGATATAGACGGATGTCGTGACGGCGTCATTAAACCCCGCCGTTTTGACACAGAGTTCTAGAAGGCGTTGGAGCACCAGCATCCTAGAGTTTGGGAGGTCATCGACAGGACGAGATTTGGCCCGCTGTTTCGAATGGGCAGAGTTATGACCGACAACAGCCTCATCACGTGTTTGGTGGAAAGGTGGCGACCGGAGACGCATACCTTCCACTTTGACTTCGGGGAGGCCACGATCACGCTGCAGGACGTACAAGTCCTTTTTGGTCTCCCGATCAATGGAGAGCCTTGTTGGGGAGTGACACAAGAGAGCACACCCCGAGACTGGCAAGAAATTTGTTATGATGCGCTAGGGTTCGAGCCCTATGTTCAGGTAAAATAGTTCTTACAATTTTTTTTTTTATTTATGTTTACCCTATTCATTAATTTTTAATATATATAAACCACTCTCAGAAGGCCGACGAACCGGTTCAAGACCCCAAGACTTGTGCCATTACAGGTCAGTATTTGAGGACCTATGCGTTAGAAGCGGAGTGCAACAGAGAGCTAACCGATGGAGAGCATATCTTCGACTACGAACAGAGGGCGAGGGCCCTTATACTGGTGCATCGGTTGCTTCTTCTTCCCCGACCAGAGGGCCAATGGAGTGAACCTGTACTGGTTGCAGCATTTGTACGACATCGATGCGATCAAGACGTACAGCTGGGGTTCGGCGGTCCTGGCCGGAGTGTATAAAGCGCTCTGCACGAGCTCCAAGGCCGGGGAAAAGTGGATCAAGAACTGTGTCCAATTGATTCGGGTAAATTTATTTGCTAGTTATTTCAAAATTCATTTTTTTTTATTATTTTTTACTAATATCTAATAACAAATGAATCTGTCGATATGTGTAGGATTGGGCATATGAACGTATCCCTCGTATTCGTCCAAGAATGAGGGATACGAACTTTGAGAGAGTCGCTGGTTGTCCCTTAGGTGGAAGGTAATCAAATTTATTTATATTTAATACTTAGATTATTTCCATTATCAAATTTTGTGATTACAAAGTGTTATTTTTTTTACTGTGATTTTTAAAGTGGGTAGGAAAGAGGAACACGACACACCTGAGCAAGGGAACAGCCACCACCCGGGATCAATTGATATGACTGATAGAGACGGATGTAAGATTATTATTAAGTCCTATTGATTATTAATTTTATTTGTTGTTTGTTTTTTTTTTATATAACTTAATTCCTAATTAATTTTTTTTTATATTTTTATTTTTTTATAGTTTGGTTGGTTGCCCTATCAGTGGAACCTGCAAGGGAATGCTCTCCCGGTCCAGTGTACAGAAGGTTCACACCTCTGGATGTATAGGGGGTGGATCTTCAACTGGAACGTCCGTGAACTCCACCTGCCTGATAGGGTCCTCCGTCAGTTCGGGTGTCGGCAATCCACCCCCGAACATCCGATCATTACGACTGAGGCCGAATGGGAGAGACACCACCGAGGCTAGGGAATGACTGGGAGGGCAGTTTTTGATTGGGTCGCCTTTCACGGAGAGCTTGGGAATGCTTGGGTCGAACATAGAGACGAAAATGTCGTTCCAGTCATCCCTGTGGAGCCATTCATTGAGCCTGAGTCGGGTTACCTTGATTGGTTTCATAATATCACTGTGAGACTACTCGGTGACCCTGCCAAGTACGGTGGCCCAACCGGACAGAGGCTTTCAGCCACTTGCCGAGCAGGGAAAGTGCGATGTAAGTAATATATATTTGTGTTTTTTATTCTCTTATTATTATTATTATTATTATTATTATTATTATTATTATTATTATTATTATTATTATTATTATTTGTTTTTTTTTTTTGTTTCATTCTAATTACTTTGAATTTAATTTTCAGGCTAGCGCCATGGAGGGAGCTTATCACACGTTATCTAACGTGGACCGCCTATATCATACACTCCATCCAGATATGTTGGCGGCATTCCAACAGGCCAAGAGCCTTCCATACAGTTCTCTGACTGTCGGAGGCGGAGAGGTCGCACAAGGGATGTCGTCGAGCCAAGTTCTATCGCAGAAGAGCTACGTCCGATCCTAGAGGACGCAGTCACACCGGGCGAGGCATCAACCTGCTGCCAACATTGGTGGAGGTAGAAGACGACGTGACGCCAACCCGCTGCCGACACCGGGCCTCAAGAAGAAGAAGAAGGTGAAAAAATTTTACTTAACAAAAAAATAATTTTATTTATTTTTTGTGATTTTTGTCAAGTCGAATTTCTGATTTCTTAAAAAAAATAAATTACTCAGGTGAAGAAGAAGAAGAAGAACCTGTCACGCCCACAGCATCGTCTTCTTCACAACGACCACCACGTTGGATCAACCACCGACAGCGCAATCCTACGAATCGATACACTCCTAATTAGTTTGTGTTGTATTCGGGGAATTTTGTGAACATGATTTTTTTTTTTTTGGGTGGACTATGTGTAATGATATTTGGACATCTTTGTATTTTGAATAAATTATTGTGGTTGATTTTTCTTACTTTGAATAATGGATTGATATGAGCTTGTGGATTTAATATTTGGTTGTTGAATCGATCTCGATTAACAGTTGTGTTTTTTTTATTTTTTATGCACAACTACTGTTTTTGCACAGTAAAACTTATTTTCTGTATACATTTTATTTTTTTTATTTTTTAAAAAATGTATTTCAGAAATACGTTTTAATTTGGGGCAAAATTAGGGCAAAATCAATTTGGGGCAAAATTAAAGAAAAAACGTATTTCCAAAATATGTTTTATTTTTTGAAAATTTATTTTCTGCAAAAAAATTATTTTTACGAATAGTAAAATTAATTTTATTTATAAAACGTATTTCAAGAATCCGTTTTATAATTAAAACATAATTGAAAAATTAATTTTAATTATAAAACGTTTTGCAATAATACGTTTTTTTTTTCTTTTTTACTTTAAAACGTATTTTAGTTATACGTTTTCTTTTATTTTAATTAACTTAAGTACGTTAATTTCGTTAATTAATTTATTTAAAATAAACCGTATTCTCCAAATACGTTTTACTAAGAAAAACGTATTCCTGTAATACGTTTTCTAAAGAAAAAAGTATTCATAGAATACGTCCGTTTATTTTGGTCCACTCATTTTTTTATTTTTATTTTTGTCCATTTATTTTTTTTATTTTTAAATAAATAAATAATTCGCTATAAAGGGCCATTACCACTTCTACTTACTTTATTTTACATCAATTTAATTAAAAATATAGCAAAAGTAACACACAAAAATAATAAAAAAGTAGGTGGCATGTGAAGGCCTCCCCTCACACTATTCCCCATGAGCTTTCTTTAAGGTTTGAGAATGTAAACCTCAAACCTATGTACTTTAGTGGTCAAAACTCAAAAGTGAAGTTTATATACCTTATAAAAAAACCCTACTAAAGATGCTCTTAGAAAATAATCATTCCGAGAGGAGTGTTATAAATATCCACCCACTAAATACCAATTAATCGTATTAATTTCTTTCTCTTTCTCTCTAGTTTTATAACAGTAATATTATAAATTTCAGCAAAAATAGTTGAACTTTGTAGCTTTGATGGTATGAAAGAGTTGGAGGTGAACAAGTAGGGGAATAGAGCCATTACTGCATAAGATCAAGCATCTGTCTGTTCAGGAAAGCAGGGGTAGGACTTTAGAGATTGGGTGAACCTTGTGTCCTTTGATGGAGGAGATGTCAATATTACACAGGAAAAAAAAATGGAAGAGCGTATGAGATACACCATAGTGCTTGTGAAAAGATATGAATTATTGAATACAAGAGCTAAACAATTGACAACAGAAGCACAAATACATACAAAATCTGATCCCTACTCTGCGAAGTCAAACATAACACAACTTCGAATTAAATGGACCAGAAATATATACTTCTCCTGATTATAAATGTCTTTCTTCGACTTTTACACGTACCTTTGCCGTCACATTTCGTTATCAGAAGACTAGTCTCACGATCAATCTTGTTGATCTTTAGAAATTTCTCTTTACTCTGAAGTTCACATCGAACCTCATCTTCTTAAATTAAATTAGACAGTGCATCCAGAAATTTCGAGAAACAAATATCCTCCTTCTGTAGCTTCATCCAGAATTTCAAGATGCTGATTCAGATCATTGCAGTTTTAACTATAGCATCTGACAACAGAATCAGCTCTAGATGATCATCATTTCTGGTTTCACTAGTAAGTAATACATAAAATTACCAAGTGAACAAAATAAACTGCTTCACCATTTCACCAACACTTCCGCGTTAAGTACTTAAAAAAGCTCATGATCATATTTCTTGACTTAACTCCATCAGGTCTTTGCGTCTTTGAAGCGTAACAGCTGGCAGATGTCGGGAATTATTTTTCTCCTCTAAGGGAACAAGCTGTCCAGCATATAAGCTCTTCATAATCCACTGCACTGACTGCATCAAATTCAACGGGAAAATTTGTGAACAATAATGCTATGTCTATGTCTATTATGTACTTTTGACCAAATCAACTATTAGTACTTATGAGTTTCAAATTGGTCAAATGCAATTGTAACTTTAGGGAATGGAAGTACACAATTTACAGTGACAGCAATAACTGACCGTTATCGGTATATTCTGCTCCAATGCACATTGCTTCAAATGACGGGAAGAAAAACTCTCATCACGAGCAACAATGATCCCCGTTAAAATTACACCAGCTTCAAGAGCCTGGACCAATATCTGCAGGGTATTGAAAATCTGTCCTCCACCATGCTGACCAAAGATCAAACTTAGGATGAGACTGTTAGGTTTTGAGGAAACATGGGTGTGTGTGTGTAAATAAAATGTGATGCCTCCACGCTTACTTTACATGCATATCTTTTCCTAGTTAACTGTATACCTTGATAATGGTTGCAATATTTGCGAAGTATTTTGTTTTCCCATGAAGCATGACACCCAAATTGTTGAAAACAAGGGAACGATCATCATAGTTCACAGCTGTATAAACTTGGTCCTGCCTTCTGCTAATATTTCTGGGTAGGATCATATATCTGAAAAATTCAGTAGGCACAAGAAACAAGAAACAAGAAACGTAAGACAAAATCAAAACACAATCTGTAGTCAAACTAGAAGCAATATGAAAAAGTGTCCAGAAACCTTGTATTAAAAGGCTGGTCGAATCTTGTGTGTCATAGAATGAGGGACAGCATAATGGAGCCAGAATCAAGAATGATAAAGGACATTTAGAAGTATAACAAAAAGTCTGCCCTGAGTCAAATGTTAAAAGTGGCCCCTTTTTGTGATTAACATATTATCGTGCATGTTAAGCATATAAGAGACCAGGCTCTAAACACACCACTCAACTGTATCATCTAGTCAAAACTGTCATTTTCCCTTCGCTCTTGAGTTTATTTATTTTTTCGTTGTTATAGATCAGACTCCGCTAATTATCATATATTACATAATAATTTGTCAAGGCAGAAATCAACTTTCTAGAATTGGAAAAAAAAAAAAAAGTGCTTTCTATTATGTGCAAGCATCAACATTATTGGTTCTGCCCATGTACGCCACATAGAAATATGATATAATTTTCAGTCAAGACCACTGACAAACACTATGTAGAAGTAGGAATATGATGAGCATACTTTTTTGGGGGTAGGACCCTTCCGGCTGCAAGCGAATCATGAAGCCAATTTACTTTAAGCACATAGGCGTTTACTGCACATCCGTACAAGAACTTGAAAGAGTTTGTCTGAGCCAACAGCAGAACGAGGATAAGAAATTTCAGTGCATAACAAAAATAACAGCAAATAACTGTCCACCAATATAAGTGAATGAAACAGATAAGATCACGGCATGAAAGAATATTGACGCTGAATGTCACAGCGTTCACAAATGTATGAAGGCAAATTGAAATCCAGTAAGTTCCTTAAACACTATTCAATTGAATAGCTAGAAATTCGAAGGAAAATATCATTCAACCAACATGTAATTATGGAATATGACAGGCTTCCAAATTGACCTCGTACCAGATGTGGAATATGCAAGAAAACTAAGTTAAACAGAGTCTCCCATTTGAGTTGTCACTGATAATTCCTGTATAAAATCTCATATTACACTTTCGAAACCAACTAACAAACCATAAAGACAGAATTTTGACTAAGTTATCTCAGCAAACTCAACCGTCATTGGATCCTATTTTAACGAAGCACATAGAAAATGTGATGTACCATCTCAATAGGAAGCTGTAAGCAGATTTTTTCTGGAGGCTAAAAGCTTTTCTTTGCTTATGATATCTCTTTGTTAGTACTTGTAAATAACTTTGATTCAGAATATGATAAAACGTTCTCTTAATAGAAACTGAAGAAATTAACTATTCTACATAGTTCTTTAAATTTTCCTCTTACTTCCAAATTTCTGATGGGAAGCCCAAATAACTCTAAATAAAGATCATGTATTTCTGTTAAACAAGAATATTTTTTTTATATAAAATTGAATATTAAGTAAACAATCTTTTTTTTTTTTTTTTCTGCCACTACTGACCTTCTTCAAACATAAAACAATGGGAAGGGCCTGAGACTTAATTATAGATCTTCTCTTTCCCTTCAAGTTTATGGGTGGTATTTGAGAAAGAATTATGCCACCATATTGTCGAATGAGACCCTCAATTTCCATTTCTGTTTTATGAGAAAATCCAGTGAGAAAGAATTCCATATTTTGAAGTATCAATCTCCTCTTCTCCTTATCCAAATGTTTCTTCAGATATCTATCCATCTGCGGAGCTCCAGATTTGAGAGGTGCACTGAATCTAGTAGACCTTTTAAAAGCTCTAGTAGAAGAACCTGCAAAGGTCACGCCAAGTCATCATAAGATAACCATCATATAATTCAAAAACTCATGTCATGTAGAGATTCATGATTTCCCTTACAAGTTTTTGGTGCACTTTGCACCTTCTTGAGTCTCTTTTTCTCTGGAATGTTTGTTTCTCTTTCACAAAAATGAACACGTTTTGATGTTCTTAGCTTTTGAGCACTTCGAGTTTTGCATTGTAATAGCGTCTGCTGCTTCTTCTCACTGTCTGGGAATCGAGAATTGGTTTTTGGTTGGGATGTTCGAATTGCATTGTCTTCATCCGTGGAAGATATAGAAGCTCGGAAGCAGCTATAAGACCTATTTTTCACCAAATTAGGGAGTGTGTGGGTATTTTCTTTGTTTGAAACTTCAGCCCAAACCTTCACAGTTTCTTCGTGGTTTTCCTGGGAAGTCAAGTCGATGTTGCTCTGCATGAGTGATGAACTTTCCCAGTGACCATGTTTCGGGGAAAACTTTGTACAGTTAGGCGGCAATTTGCTATAATCTCGAAGGGAAGTGAATCGTCTAGAAACTCCATTTCTTAACTCCTCGATATTACCTATTGGCATGTCAACCTTTTCTCTTTGAGCTACATCGTTGTCTAAGGGAGTGATCTGGAAGATATTGTTTTTGTTGCATTCAATTGTTACATTGAAGTGACAAGGGTGGACTTTGTCCTCTCGTTCTACTGCTGGTGAGGAACAAACATTCTCAGAAATACTACACGGTACAACAGAGCAGAGAGGGTCCGCCAAAGATGTATTTGAAGATCTTATATCTTGAGAAAGTAGCATCCCATCTATAACTGTGGTGCGGAAATTTTCAATAGATGTACTTAACTGAGAAGCTATCATGGCCTCTTTATCATGATTCTGCGCACAGGAATTCTGGTCTGGAGCAACATCCGCAGACTCTGACAAAAAACTTGTTTCACCACAAAAAGGTTGGGGAATGCTATGTTTCATGGAGGTATACTTCACATCATTCTGTGGAGTGCGAGGGAAAAGCATGAGACAAAACCATAAATAGCTGAGGTGATATTTCATATGCGGGTGGGTAAATATCATAGGATGATTGAGAAACAAAATTCCTAGAAATAGGGATAAATAGAGAATATAACCATAGCATAGCAGGATATCTTTCAATTATTACTTCCGATCCGTTATTTTAATGTCATTGAAGAATAATAGCATTAGTAACATGAAATTATTCCTCAGGTGCAGACCCTCTCCAGTAGTCTTAAATGGTTTCACAGACGTAAGAGCCTCGAAAGTTATCTTTCTTTTTTGGAGTCAAAAAGATTAGTTAGAAGTTCAAAGCCAGGGTGTAATTCAAACATTAGGAGTAGCAGTCAAAAAGCTACATTCTTTTCAATATCTATGTAATATATCACAGAAAACTAAGCAAACAGAGAAACGAGGTTAACAAACACCTACATGACAAGTTACTTTCAATCAAAATTATTCCAGGAAAAAAAAAATTGTTTAAGGTTTTAAACGAGTATAATTCTATTGAGCTTGATGGTAAAACACATCTCAAGGTACTAAATGAAAGTTAGACCTTCAGAAAGCGATTACACCTTAATGGCTCTAATTGAATGTTCATTCAGTTAAAAGTTTCATTGAGATCATGAGCATGCATTACTGCTCTATTTTGCGAAAAATTAAATGTCCGTAGTTTGACTACACTGGCCGAAGATAGAAAGTGATGTTAAGTTGTGCTACTTTCTTATTACAACTAAATTTCTGAACAGAAAATATTTGGCTCTCAAGAGTCACAATATTATCAAGAATGTAAAAAGTGATTAGTGTGATAGGACAATGGAAAAAAAATGGAACTATAGTAGTGCTTACATTGATTATCCAACCACCAAACCACCGACTTTTGAACTGTTCTTGACCTTGAATTATATTTGTGGGAGTATTATCCTTTTCTGTCAAGAGAAAATAAGTAACTTGTAATCTCATTAATAAAAGAGGTGTTCGACATACAATTAAGTTCTAACACCTACCTTGGCCACTCATATTTGGGGAAGAGCTCCCATTTATAACACGTAAATTGCTTCCTGGTGTAGTCGCATTCGCTCTCTGCAGGTTGAACAGAAACATTGATAAGTATTACAAAATGAAAGAAGGTGACAGCACTCCTTTAGTATTTTAAGCCTCGTAAAATCGTAAAACAGAAAAAAGATTTTTATACCTAACCAAAAGCTAACAGAAAACACTACTAGGATCCTAATGTAAGACACACTACATGATTTTACCAGTCAAAGCTAAATCAACCAACGACATAGATATAAGTACTTTCAAAACTCAATGAGGGCACCTTTTTATGAAGTGCAGGTAAGCTGTTGCAGGTAGACCAAAGATTCAGAAGTTAAGGCTGTTTTTGGCAACCAAATAAACAGACAGAGAGAAAAAAATGAAAAGTATCATGCTCTAGGGATTATAATATAATAAAGCAACACTTGAATAATCACTAGTAGCACCAATATTTGGGCAACTAAAAGCTAGTCCTCAGTGCCCCCAGATTGTAAAGAGCAAGCCTGCAACGTATGTATAACTGATGAGATTGGAGTCTAATCAGACAGGTCAATGGCTCCACACATATCAGAGAACTTTGCATCTGACAGGTACTAAAATACAAAATTTGATAGACAGATGAACATGCAATTTGGGATAAGAGTTAAGGGAAAGTGATCAACGGATGTAGAAAATGCATGCTATCCTTCGACTCAAGAAACCGGGAAGCGTCCCTATATTCTTTCTTTTAGGAGATCAGGCCTATGTCCCTTTCCTTGTCCAAGACTACACAAAACATTAGACTGGCAAGGTCTCTAATAGCTCACCTAGTTCATTGTTTGTTTATCTATTTATTATCATTCCATTTTCTTCTTCTTTCTGTAAAGATGAAACACGATGAGAGTAACAAAGAAGCTTGAATTTTATTCAAGATTTATCATACCTCTGTTGAATCTGAAATATGAGGTTCCATGTGAGCACCAATAGTCCTCACACTATTATCCTGGTAGCCGACATCACTGCCCAAACCACACACCGAAACACAAATTGCCCCGTTTTGCTTGTCACTATCAAGACGTTCTGTGACCAAGACTTCTTTTAATTTCATGTCACTGTCTATAACACCTTCCACTATATTCGTATGTCCACCATTGGGAGAATAAATATATGTAGTGGCAGAAGCAGTGGTATTCTTATGTTTTATGTTTTCATCATTTTCAGAGTCGAAAGTGTCCTTAACTTGTGACATACTTAGCTCTTTTACATGCAATTCATTCAAATGTCCTGCATCCTCATATGCACTTTCCATAGCTATATCATCCAAGTCGGACAAATCACTGATATCACCAGCTATATAACTTGTGCCATTAAAGGTGTGGGTGTCCCTCCAAACTTCTAAACGTGCTTGTTTTATCTGAAGAGAAGCTTCAAGTATAGCTGAAGCAGAACAAGATTTTGCCAACAACTCACTCTCAGTAACTTCATTAATTACCAGGGCCTCTGATGCTGCTATACATAATTCTACAACATCAGCAGCACCCTCAGAGCAACTCGTATTTTCATCATGCTTCAACATCTCAGACTTGTCCAGATGTCCTTCCAATTCTGGTCGAGAACAATTTGTTGATCCAGGACTAAAACTTAACTTAACACATCCCTGACCTAAAGTTCTTGATTCCTCACGAGGTTGAACAATATCACAACACTTGGACTTGTTTGGGCACGCATCAGTAATTTGATCTGTGATCTCTGAGTCGCCATCTGGTGACAGACAAAGATGAAACTGAACCCCCTTTCAAAGAGAAAACACAGACTGGCTGAGATCATTGTGGAGAATACTACGTTCAATCAGTAAATCAAATACTATAAAGCACAGATAACCATTATAACAGAAATACAGACATGTGTCATCTTGCAAGAAATATACGTGGTTACAGATTGATGATTTCAGAGAGACTGTGATTTCAATGACTGATACTCACAGCTGAAGAGCTCATGCGCGCGCACACACACAACACACACACACACATATTTTATATTATATGAGAGCATGAATTTAGACTGTTCTTATGAACCTACTGCCACAGCTTTCTACCACAAAAATGAAGTTTTTACAACTCATTTTTTCATTTAAAACCTTACAATAAGCATGCAAGTGTAAGAAAAGAGACATGCCAGATGTGTATAAAAATTTACGCTGGTTATAACATTCATAGCCATAAAGAACTGTAGATACCATCAACCTTAAGTGGGAGAAAAGCTAAGTAAAAAATATAAAATTGAATTAATGAATTTACCAGAGCATCTAATTTATCTGTAAGATTCGGATACAGGTCGAGTAATTATTGTATCTGTGATTAATGGCATAATTGGAAAACAAAGAACCGAGAAAAACGCTACACATTCCAATGATTATTGTTTCTGTGATTAATGGCATAATTGGAAAACAAAGAACCGAGAAAAACGCTACACATTTCAACAACCACAGAAGTTCACCACTAGATAATCTGACAATCATTGGAAATTTAAAACACACAGCCATCAGTCTTGAGATTTTGAACATGTAAACGACCACAGAAAGTAGTGGCAGACTAGATTTGTCTTTCAGGCAGAGAAACTTACATCATTAGCAGATTGAGAAAGACTAAAGGGTGAGCCATCAGTTCCAGATATAAATAATTGACCAATGTTAAATCCACCTTCTTCCTTCAAAGATTCTCCACTGCCGACACCAGTCCAGTGAAATTTCAATTCCTATTAAAATGCAATGATAAAATTATAGGTTTTTAAAGACAATTTTACTAGCAGAAAACGATGCGAATAAAACGCACTTCACGGGAAATTGAACCATTACATATTTTTTAATATAGCATTTGGTTTAATTATATAGATAATTATCATGAACAATAATCAAATCCATAACACCCAAGTAAAGCTAATCATGCATAATCATGTGTTTGCTTCAATTCAGCTAATCCTTCCCTCAATGAATAACTGGCTAATAAAGCTTACAACTAGAATTCATGCCTTCTCATATGGCAAGATGATAGACATTCTCATTCAAAAATTATCCACCTTTTAATTAAGTGCAACATAAAGTATTATAATAAGTGAACATGATGGCGGCCAACCTCAACGCGCTGCTCAAATGTAATCTGATCCGTCGTGATGGACTCCACATTCAGTATATCGAAATTGCAGTGCTGAAGCCATGACGGTAGCCATGCCTCATCCTGCCAGAAATTACGAAAGCCTTCATATACTCCATAAAGTATGATAATTGTCAAATATGTAAGGGATTTTTTTCTGACCTCTGAGAATTGAGGAAGGCGAAACACAGATAAGCTGCCCATCGGCGTAACCTCAGCGCGGAGAACGAATTGATAAGCGTCGGATTAATCCTGGCGGTGGTGGCAAACGGGAGAGGGTCAACTAAGGGTTAATGGGATGATGGTTGGCGCCAAAATAAGGGTGCGCGGGGAATTGTAGGTTTAGACTAGCGATATGTAGGTACCAATAATGATAATTGTATAAAATTAAAGTAGTGAAATAATAAATTAGTATAAAATAGATTTTGAATATTAACATTGACTATTATCTTTCTTTTATTTTCATAATATATAATAGTCTAATATATAATTTTGGAAAATGCTACGATCCTGCTACGGAACCATTAAGTCGGGATTTGTAACCGTTAAATCATCATGTAACCATCATGGATAGTTGATCTAACAGTTAAAAACTTCGACAGAATGATTCCGTAACATGATCATTTTAGAGTTTATGTTTGAAATTAAAGAATATGAAAATTTAACATAATCAAATATTATCAACAAATAATACTCACAAAAAATATTTATTTATCTCTTTCATTACACATACTTTATTACAATATATTACTTAGATTCCTAAATAAGTGGTGGTAAAAGTGCAAAATATGGAAAATGTTATAAATAAACGCTTAATTTAAATTTTTTTTAAAGTTATAAAATTTATTAAGTTTTAATTGTGTCAAAATTGATTTGTAATAACCTTTATTATTACATAATTCTACAATTTAGTACTGAAAAAAAATAATGAGTTTCAATATATAAANGTTTTATTGCTTCAGATATCTTAGTCAATGTTATGACTTCTTAGCAGTAAATCCTCCATCACCAAAAAGGCTATGAAAAACACAAATTCTTAAATTAGGCAATCTAACCATATCCAACCAAATAGGTCGACATGTTACTCTTTGTAACAAAATATATACTTATGCTATGAAATATCATAATCTTTATCTATGTTAGTTTTGAAAGTACACATATTTATTGAAAAAGTATAATAACTAATCAAAACAACCAAGAACGCAATATCCTCAGAGAGCCATAACCAGTAAGTTCTCATCCTTATTCTCACCACATCACTCCAACCAAAGACATAAATAAATACCAATTAAAAAACACACACAGATAGAATAGTTCTCTTCACTCAGGCCGAAAATTCAAACAGCATGGTGTGCACGTACTTCTCCCCAGGCCGAACAACGACCGAGGGAAAATTCGGCTGGTTCACGGCATTCGGAAACCCCTGAGTCTCCAAACACGTGGCAGCATGCTTCTCGTAAACCGCACCACCTTTTCCCAAAATACCCTTCACATAGTTCGCCGTGTAAAACTGCATTCCTGGAGCATTCGTCCACAGGTCCAAAGTCCTCGAGCTTACCGGGTCACGCAACCTGGCAGCATGCTTGAGGCCCGATTTCTCTTCACCACAGTCGAGCACGTAATTGTGGTCATAACCTATGCCGACCTCATTTATGCGATTGCCGATTTTGTTCTCGGCTGTGAAGTCGAATGGCGTGTTTTTGACGGGCATGATTTCGCCAGTTGGGACAGTGTTGTTGTCAACTGGGGTGATGTGATGGGCCAATATTTGGATTGTGTGGTCAAGGATTTTTCCAGAGTTGTGGCCCGCTAAGTTCCAATATGTGTGTTGGGCTAAGCTGATTGGGGTGGGCTTGTTTTGGGGAAGGCCTTCCATGTCAAGCCGCATTGTAGTCTTGGACGTGAGCGTGTACTTGGCTGTGAAAGATACGTCCCCCGGATAGCCTACATTGAAAATAATATTTCTTAAAAGGAAAAGGAAAAAGTGATTTTAAAAAATGAAATACCTTCTTCTCCATCATGGCTGTGATATTTGAAGGTGATTGATGGAGTATCGCCTTGTGTATATTCAGCAACTTCCCAGATTACTTTGTCGAATCCCTTGTTCCCACCTTCAAGACAACACGTATGAGAAGGAGAAGGTAAGAAGTTTCAAGTTGTATATATAAACGAAGAAGAAAAAACTTGTTTCTTCTGTTTTACAATTACAAATTTTGATACATCTTCACTTCCACACTACCTGTATTGTCATGTTATTTTCAAGATTTGAGTAGGCATCCACACATATCTACTAAATCCTGAGTCGGTAATTTAATAAATATTGTAAAAATAATATCTTCAGAATGCAGCTTTCCAATTTATTTCCCTTCATTGGATGCTATCAGTAAATCTTCCACACACTTCTTCAAGTTACATAAATGACACAAACATTTTCTTTTCAAATTAATTTGTGTCCAGAACAAAAGTTTACCCGCTGAATATTGTAGAATAATTGCATGAAATGAAAAAAAATGATTACAGCGAAGGAAATTCAGTGAAAGGGCTCATAGCTACAAACTACGTACATAACATATAATGCACTTTATAGTACTTGTCATGGGAAGTAGTAACAAAGATTTTATCTCACTATGCTGGTTAGGCTTGAAAAACAATACCACATCATCTTTGGCAGTCAAAGACCATATTCTTGTTCATTGCTAAATTTTGAACATACTTTTTAACAAAGTTCCCGTATGAGAGAAAATCAAGTCAGGGACCTTGTAGAAACAGTATGACACCCTTCTTTACACCAAACAAGCTACTGAACGGATTGAGATGTAAGGACCAATAGGCTAAGTATATATTTACTCCGTAAATACTTACTCGTTCAAGCCACTCAAAAGAGGGACTAACATTTAGAATATTTGCTTCAACAATGACAGTATAAAGATAGGAAAAAATAGTAACCACTATGACAAAGATTCAAGAAGGAGAATACTTTCCTTCTATATTTAAAGATTCTCAAAATTCCATACAATAGAATCTTTTTATTCGAAGTGGCATTTTCCAGTTCTCTTGGTGCTTCAAACAATTTGGTCTTCTCCATATTACTATATTTCTAGAGTCAATAATTTTATATGAGGAATTACTAAACTTAATCACTTGCTTCCGTTACTCTTCAGTTTTCTATTGAGGCCTATCCTGTAGAGGTATCCCGCCATCTGGCAGGTAAAGTATGAGAGAGTATGTAGATAATTAGTTGAGAAGCTAAGGTCTACCAGAACTGCTCCATTTGTTTTTTTCTTTTTTTCCTTTTTTTAAAAAAGGAGAATCAATAGTGTTCACACTTCCCCTCCTCAGTGACTCGAACCCATGACCTATCGGTCATAGGTGAAGCGTTTTACCACTCAAGATAAGCTTCGTTGTCAGAACTGCTCCCTTTGTTTATCTCCCTAGTGCTCAACTCTACTAAGAATTTAAAAGATCATAATGTTAGTTCTAACACAAGAAGAGCAACTTCAAAAGGTCACTCATTCATTTAAAGGAATCATTATGTATCCTTAAAGTATTTTAGGTGGAACCACTGCAATTCCTCTATATTTGTTTCCTCATACAAAATTCATAGATCCCCATTCTTTTAAAATTTCACATAAGCAAACACCAATCATGACCATTACAGATATAAAAAAACAAACAAATACTTTTCTTCCTAACCAATGCATACTTCAGTAGTCACTGAATTTAAAGAATTGTCCCAAAATTTACTCTCTTAAGAAATGCAATGAATGCATGTTGATGCAAAACCTAATTCTGGTCAATAATTGTACGAGGCAGGGTGAAAGCACCTCTAAGTAACTTTTTTCCACCAAAAAATAAAAAATAAAATAAAATCACTTTGATACCATGGAGGCTGTTTGGTGGCTTGTTAATGGGCAATGAATACTCAACTCCATCAAGTGCAAACTTGCCATCTTTTATCCTGTTAGCCACCCGACCCACAATGCACCCAAAGTAAGGGGCGGCACCTTTCTGCACAACAATAGGATTTTAAAAGAGCCGAAACAGGGAGATTATAAACAAATCAAATCCCAAACAGAGAACAACAATTGGCATCTTCATTCACCGAGATAAATTAACACATATGTAATAATTAAATGGGCTTTGACAAAATTTACTATCAAGATTACACAGACCTGATATGGCTCAATTGTGTCAAATCCAAGAACAACATCAGCCAATTGCCCTAAATCACATATCAAACGTCCACAGTCAAACATTTCCTCTTCAATTGAGCATGAAAACGAAAAGGGGTAACAAACTAGGCGCTGAATTTACCATTTTTGTCGGGAACACGCAGGGAAGTGATGGTGCATCCGTAATTGGAGACTAGTACTTGCATGTTGCCATTGTTAAGCTCAAAGATCTTAGCATCCGCCATTGAAGACTTGGAGTTTTCAGTGTTCTGTTCGTATACATATATTGGCCCGTAGGCCCGCCCAAAGTCACACATACAAAGCAAACATTCGTAATCATACAGACATAAATAATTATAAGTACTAGAATAAACCGTACCACACATTCAGCGTATACATTCACAATAATAACAGACATAATAAACATAACAAAATAAAAATAACAAGAACAAAATCCTACATTCCACCCGAAGGCCAAGTCTCAAAGCCTCATCTATTACAACTCGAAAGTCTGTTCTCATATAGTCTGCCAAAGTCCGAAGGCAATGGTAACTTACCCTCAGTTCTTACTATCCATTCTTACCATAAATTCTTACGGTTGATTGTTGCCGTCAATTCTTACTGTAAATTCTTGCCCCACAGGCCCAACGACATGCATATAATAATAAAGATAACATGAACATTTAAAAAGGTTGAGTGTAGAGAAAATCCCCATCTCAACTTGACGTGTGCAATTAAATGAAAGGACAATCGCTTCAAGGACTCGACTCTTCGTAATCTACATGTAAAAGTTATCTAACATGAATATAATGCAAAATTAATATTTTTCTGAAATAAAATTTAATTAATTAAGAATCGAGGCTGAAGCAGTGAAGTTCAAGGAAATATATACGTATCAGTTCTCTAAACTCTTTATTAAGAATCTCATCCCGTCAGCAACAGAGTTGTATTACTAGCAAACCAGCTCGTACTTGCTTTTGAATAATAATCACAACTCTGTCAAAAAGTTTCTGAAGAAGCACAATCACATTACAGAATGCTGCTCGAGAACTGGGAATCACTATTTTGAAAATTTTGATTCGGCTGGTTTCACACTGAAANAGAGAATATAGGGTCCTAAACCATTCGGCTATATCATATTAGCGCAGGGACACCCAATTCATTAACCTAGCTGGACAGGTAGGAGTTCAAAGTGACAAGTACTACCACGACTAATTGTCTATATGAGTAAAAAATATGCAATTAACCTCTTAAGCCAAATCCTAAAACCGGAAAAATCATGGATAAACAACCTGAAAGCCATGTGCATATCAGCATGTCATCATTTAGTCAGCAAATATTCATCAAATCAGTGTCAGTGGAATTCCCAAACATTACCTACTAAAAGGCATCAAATTACACAAAGAATGAGGCAAAAGTAATCATCCTTTACACACACATGTATTTGACTCCGGAGAAAGCCTTACCTTGCTTGCTCTCGGCCACCCGAAGGAATAAGATTTCGGCCTGATAGGAGTGCTGCCGGGCTGAAGAAGTTCTCGGCTTAGGGCTGCTCGTGGGTTGATGAATGGCTCGGCCTCAAGGATTGCTCGGTCGCCGGGAAGATTTCGGTTTGCCGAAGAGAAAATCGCGTGAAAAATTGAGAGAAAGAGGGAGATTGTGACTTGTCAGGGTGGCCGATGGAAGCGTGTTGGGATTCTCTGACCGATTCTCCCTTCCTTTTCTTTCTAAGCCTCTTTTCTTTTACTAGTACACTAGTGCGTCGTGCGATACACGGGAAAATAATATTACGATTGTATTATAAATTAAATATTTAAATAACATTAATCATAATTTATTCATTATTTTTAAATTAAACCGGGTTGCACACAGTCCGACCGGATGAATCAGGAACCGATTTATAACCAGTCTAGCTTGAATAAAATATTTGCTCTGGAATCCGTCAACACCAGTCGGTTGGACTGGTAGGATCAATACGATTTTCTAAATAAATTTTGTTGTATTTAAAATTATTTTAAATAAAATTACATATTTAAATAAAATAGAGATTTATATATTATTTATCAATTAGTTTAAACATTTGAATTTATAAATTGTTTAGATATCTAAGTAACACATTTTATTTAAATTTATTAAATTGTTTATATTAAAATGTTTATAAATTAAAATCTGAACAAACCACAAATGATTTAATAAAATAGCTTGATCGTTTCGATGACGGTCCAGTTCTGAAAATCTTATATTTACTGTACATTAATAAAAATTATAATAAAATATTATTTAATTTACATAAATATTAACAAAATGATATATAAATATTCATAAATCATTAAACATGTTGTCATAAAAGTATTATTAATACGATTATTTGAAGTTTTGACTACATCACATTCACGTAATAACATCTTTTCAACATAAAACTTATATTTAGGTTCAATAATCCATTTGATGTGGTCGAACAGATACATAACTTAGTCACCTGGAACCAACCAAGTTGTGTCCAATTTTTTGACTATTTTAGTTATTACCGAAAAGTAATTCAATCAACTTGGGCAGTACCCTAATTCAATCACCCGATTGCTCCGAAGAAATTTTCTTATTTTCTTTAGATATATTTAATTTTATGAAATAAAAATATTTTATGATATATAATAAATATCTACACCAAATGATAGTAAAATAAGATTATATATTATATATCTAAAGATGAATTAATTATTTTTACTTTATGCATATTAATTAAAAATAAACATAGTAATTTTAAAAAAAAAATTAAGATTAATTGATTGATTATGCAATTTAAATAATATTTTTTTAACGGCACAAATATAAAAACCGAGATTCTAAAACTTTTGTTATATTTTGAATTGAGATTTTATAAATATAGAGACCGAGATTTTAATGTTGTTCGTTGTTTCTAAGAAAAAAAAAATAAAAATAAAAACATACACATTTAATAAATCTTAACCGGATTTTTTAAATAATAAAATAAACTAAAACCCGAAATTTAAGGTAACATTTAATATTGTATGATTTTTAAAGAAAAAAAATAAGAAAAGTAATAAAACTTACTATATATAGGTTGCATTAAATTCTAACTTATTTTTTTGCTACTATTTTTGGTAAATGTTAATTCTTATTATATATATATAGATTATCGCACGGGGGTTTATTATCTCCGTCCTTTTTATAAAGCAATATTCAGTTAAAATTCAAAGTACTTACTAAATGAAAGATCATGCCATTACTAATAAATAAATTAATAAATACAATGATAATAAAATCTATATATTAGTGAACACTTCCTTATATACAACGTGCATGGTTTGATTCTTTGGCACGTCATCGTCGCCACAAATTAGGACTTTCAAACCCATTTCTGTTTGTGACACGGGAGATAACAAATTACAATTGGCCACGACTAAACGCTGGTTTCTTAAGAAATAAGTCCATATGCGATAATGATTGTTCCTGACTCTTATTTATAGTTATGGCGTAAGAAAACATAATGGGAAACAATCAATCCAATAACATCTAAAAAAGTTATAAGAAAATGCATCATATTGAAATGTATAACATATAAAATAGTTTACTACAAATTTTAAATTAAAAAAAAAATCAAAATAAGAAATAAACAAAAAAATTATAACGTACCAAACAACATGACTTCATCAATGTTACGAACATCCATTAAAGTTAGAAATAGGAAAATCACCCCTCCATTTGATAATCTTGGTTTGACCATTGATAATGATCCTCCTTTTTCCTATCGTCGATTTATGGATGCCAATATTGCTTTCCATTTGATAGTTTGTCAAGATATAGGCGCCACCTTCTTCAATATCACCGATGATTTTTTGGATATTGATAGGTCGAATAATGCCAGTAATTCGTCCTCCCTAAAACATTGCATAATGAATAATTCAATAAATAAATTATAAAAGATGTTGCATAAAATGATGCATTTAAATAATACTAAAAAAATATATTACCTCAAAATCATGAAAGATAATCTCAAGAACATTTCGGTAATTGCGTACGACTTCAACTCGTTGGAGCATCTAATTATGCGTAGCTTGATTGGTGGCTTATTGGATCTTTTGATATCCTTGATTACTCCAAAATCCGAAGTCATTTTCAATGGTGATGTAAAAGCTTGTAGAAAAAATTGTGGGATATATTGGATGTCGAATATTTTTTGTTCAACGTTGGTGATGTTTATATAGTCATGTGTATGTGTCATATGTCTGGGAAATAAAAAAAATATTTACGTAAGGTATTTAATATGATCCGATCCAATTTTTTTTTATTATGATTATGATTGACTTCTAAAAATATGTGGTATTGGTTTTGTTAAAAAAAAAAATGTGGAACGTGATTCACTTGTGAGGGACGAACGAATATTTAGAAGATTATGTAGCAAAAAATATTGGAGTTTGTTACAATGAAATTTGGTAAGACTTTTTGGATACATTGAAAAATAATATTTTTATTTTGATATTTTCCTATTTATTTGGACAAATCCAAAACTTCAATTTACGAAAATATAATCTTTAATTTTTTGAAACGTGTAAAATTTTCTAAGATAACTTCTATAAAACAAAATGTGATCAAATCATAATTGATTTTTATGCCTCAATATTCTAAATCAAACCTTACAAATATGGTATGATTATTTACTATTAATATTTTATTTTTTTCAAACGTATGATTCTCTTAGGTTTATATGAAACAAAGTTCAATCAAATAAAAATTGATTTTTATGCCCACATTAAAACTTTATCAATATGATATGTTTATTTTATTTTTTTATTTTTTTTTTCAAAACAACTCAAATTTTTGAGAGAGAAAAAAAGGAAATAAAATCTTATCAAATCTTATAAAATTTTCGAAAGAGAAAAAAATACAAAAAGAATTAGAAACAAAATCTTATCAAAACTTATCAATAATGAAGATACGTGTTTCCATGAAAAGCTAACAAAATCCCGCGGTTACCATCCTATCAAATTAGTTAACAAAATTCCATTAAATTGGTTAACAATATTAGAACGCATTTTGTTAGGAAAGATTTACATAATTTATCTATCTAATTAATATCATATTAACGTGTGGGCCCAGTGATATTAATTTAGTATACATTCCATTATCTCGGAATAATTTTTTGTTTGATTTACAACATTAATTTGAATGGAAAAAAAATCCGTAATTGTTGAGATATCTCAATTCAAAATCTCAATTTTGTCTACTTTCTCTCTAGAAATCGCCCAAATCAACCCTAATCGTCTACCTTCTACCACCGATTTCGTTGCCTCTCTCAGTGGGTCGCCGGACCCCTAACCGGCGGTCGCCTCTGGATGCACGCCCTTGTTCTGATTGGCGATTCTCCCAGCTGTTTGCAATGGGGAATGAAGCCGAGTGTCTGCGATGGGATTTTGCGCCGGCTTTGCCGATTCAGGTTCTCCTTCGTTTTCTTTCACTTTGTCGATTTCCTTGGATTGGAGGCGATCTGGGTGTGCTCGCCGTCGGAGTTGGTGTGGCTTGGGCCGCTTTCGACGTTTGCTGTCGAGTCGGCCCGGGTGGAGGAGTGGTATTGTCTTCGCCCTTTCCTCTGTTTCACAGGTGATGGGTCTCTTGTGAGGTCGGGCTCGGCTAGTGGTGTTAATCGAGTCCGTGCCGGCAGGGGTGGAGTGGGAGCGTTTACTGCTTTTCTGGTCTTGGGGCGGGTCGTCTCTTGGAGTGGTTCGGAGTTTGAGATGCGACTTCAGCTAGGTCTTCTTAGGCAGTTTCGGGAGTGGTTCTTGGGCTGCGTTCTTCTCTAGTGTGGTCGGCCGAGTTGCCGCTGGTGTATCGTGCAGGGTTGGGTGCCGTTTTCATTCCCCATTCCTCTGTGCCGTTGGTGTTGGGTCCAGGGGAGACCGGTGCTTGAGTTTGGGCTAGTGGTGTTAGCCGATCCGAAGCATTGGTGTTGTGGGGGCGATCTTGGTTTTCTTGCTCTTGCGAAGGGGTGGGTCTACTCTCAGGTTGGGTTCCGGGTTGGGTCTTCGTCTTGCTAGGCATTTGGCAGTGGTGGGCGTGGTTCTTATGCTTCGGATCTCAGTTTGTGCTGAGGGAGGGCTCATTTATTTAGTAATTGTTGCTTAGGTGTTTTTGTTTTAGTTTGTTCTGTGTTGATTGTGTGTTGCTTAGGAATTGTGTTTTTGGTTTGGGCCGTTTGGCCTCTGTGAGCCGGGTGTCAATCTTATTACTCCGTTGGGGTCCGACACTCTGGTATTACCCTGTTGGGGTCCTTGTAGTTTGTTTTAGTTGTTTGTGTTGTTAGTTAGTTTATTGTTAGTTAGTTTAGTTTTGAGTGTTTTTTATTCTAGCGTTGCTAGCCGGGATTCTAGGCGGTCTTCTGACCTGTCCTCCCACTTTTTTCAGCTGTTGGCTGCTGTGTATTCAGTCGTTGGCTGCTGTGTATTCGCACATTTGTGCATTTTGCTTTATAATATTATCTATCGTTTTGGGAAAAAAAAACCTAAAGAAATAAGAAAGAAAAGAAAAAAAGAAACTAAAAGAATCAAGGTATTGTATTAGGCCGACATGACCACATACCATTAGACCGATATACAGATGTTTTATTAAAAAGGAAAAATATTGAGATTCAACCTAAAGAAATAAGAAAGAAAAGAAAAAAGAAACTAAAAGAATCAAGGTATTGTATTAGGCCGACATGACCACAAAC